CCATCTTGTTTGTTCTTATAAATACTTTTTAAAAAAGGTTCAGTATAAATGTGATGTTAATAATGATGGTGATGATAATGAGTCTTACTGTCCATTTTAAATACTGAAAATAAAAAACTCAAAAAGTTAAAAAATGAATGATAAAAATTCTAAAGAATTTTTTTAGTCAGCCAATTTAATAGTTAAAAATAACAAACATTGAAACTTATTTGGAAATACTTAGGAAATATTTGTAAACTTTGGGGACTTTAGTTAAACTTTAACAAGGCTGGAGAAGTTTTTATCTTTGAACAATTTTTTGGATGCCTTGGCATTTGTAGTAATAAGAAAAATGAATGGGGAGGGAACTGATACGCCATCGTTAATGGTGTCATGTGGGTAAGACTAAGGTAGAGAGAAAAGGGAGTAGATGCATTGTGGGTGTGAGAGCAGAGAAGAGTTGCCTGTACTCATCATGAGGCTGGGCCTCTGTGATCAGGATGGGAAGAAGGTGCTTCCACTACCTCATTCTAAAATAAGGATGAGGAACTTTTTTTCTGTCAGAATTCATAACATCAGTCACAGGTCATATACTAAATTATCAACTTAAAAATTAGCCTGCTATGTTTGGTCATATATATAGTAATGGACCCATAGTGATGGCTGGAGTCCTGGTTTGGTGCTGCAGGTTAATGCGCTGGACTGCAGTGTTGGTTTGAACTGCTAGGTCAGCAGTTCAAACTTACCAGCCACTCCTCTGAAACCCTTTACAGGGTTGCTATGAGTCAGAACCAACTCAACAGCACTTAACAACAACAGTGTGATGGCTGGAGTCCTGGTATGATGCCATAGGACAAGCACTCGACCTCAGGGTCAGTTTGAACCTCAAGGTTGGTGGTTCAAACTCACCAGCCACTCTGAGTCGGAACCAGCTCAACAGTACTTAACAAAAACAACAACAATGTGATGGCTAGAACTACAGTTGCCTTGTCAGGGCCAGACCAATGATTTCGAGGGTGAACGGTCCCCATCCCTATTTTAAAGGGTTTCAAAGCTCTGCAGATTTAATTGTGAGTTGACTTTCCTGATAACTCCATTTACGATGGTAGGTGGTTACAAAAAGAGCCCCTTTCTTTTCCCATAAATGCGTCCTAATTTTTAGTGTTTGCTACTGCTTGACTTTTTAAGAGGTCAGTTTTTAAAAAAATCAGTTTAAAAAGGGGATGAATGGGATAAGATGAGAGAGTAGAGCTAAGTCAGATACCATGAAGTGAGCTTCCTTTTAAGAAGCTTGTGTGTGCATTGCTCTGTTTTTGTAAATGGCGAAAATCTGTAAACTAACTAGATGCTCTTAGTGAAGTGCTGAGTAAGTAAATACTTTAAGTCCATGCAGTGTCATGGAATGCAAGCTCCCTCCTGCCTCACCGTGTACCTATTACAATACAGTGTTATATATCAGAATCTAATTACAGGGTCACCTATGAGTTGGAACTGACTTGATGGCACTTAACAACAAAAATATATGTTGTTTAAAGTTTAGAAAATGTGTGACAGGGACTTTTAATTCATTCTTACATAGTTTGAATCTTTGACAAGAATGAGTTACCTTTATGAAAAATGAATAAGGTTATTTTATTGCTTTAGCTCTGTGACACTGACTGAACTTTGTGTGCCTTCTACAAAAGAGGATTGCTAATAGTACCCTACTCATGCCATAAAGAGCCCTGGTGGCATAGTGAGTTATGCTTTGGACTGCTAACCACAAGGTAAGCAGTTCAAGTCCACCAGTTGCTATGTGAGAGAAAGAGGAAGCTTTTAGCCCCTGTAAAGCTTGACAGCCTTGGAAACCCTGTACAGGGTTGCTATAAGTCAGAATGGACTCGTTAGCAGTAGCTTACTCATACCATGATTAGCACAGTGCTGGTGTGAGTCTAAGCCATGCACTCATGTAGCCAGCCACAACTGCTCCTCAGTGAAGGATAGGTATGTTATGATACAAAACAGGTGTTAGTGGAGCTTCAGAGTAAGAATAAGCAGAAAGACCTAGTGATCTACTTTCAAAAATCAGACAGTGAAAGTCTGTTGATCACGATAGTTTCAGTCTGCAGCCATTTGTGGGTGTGTACCAGGCAACATTTCATTCCATTGTGCATGGAGTCACCATGGGTTGGGGGGCTGATTTGAGGGAAGCTAGCAGCAGCAATTCATAATAGTTTTATAAAAATTAAATGAGTGTATGTATGTGTACGTGTACATATGTATTTTTTTTGTACATAAAAGATACACTATTAAGAAGCCCTGGTGGGATAGTGGGTTACTCATTGGACTGCTAACTTGAAGGTCAGCTCAAATGCACCAGCTGCTCTGGAAGAAAGTTGAGGCTGTCTACTCCTGTAAAGACTTTTACAGCCTCGGAAACTACATAGAGTCACTGTGAATCAGAATTAAATAGATGGCAGTGGGTTTGTTTTTGTTTTGTCTGCAAGGTCACCAGTTCAAACTCACCAGCCACTTCTTGGAAATCCCCATACAGAGTCACTATGAGTCAGAATCGACTCTATGGCATTCAACAACATACAGATAGTTGATTTGCATGTATGTTCTATCAGAGAGAGAGAGAGAGAGAACAAGTGTAAATTGTTAAAAAGAAGCTCAATTAAATATAAGCACAAAACTATTGAAGCTGCAGCCCTTGTAAGTTTTATTTGGTAGTGTGGCTACTGAAGACTGACTGTGAGATGTTCCATTCTCTGGAACACTTGCAAACTCTATCTCCATTCCATTGTTGTTAAGTGCCGGCGAGTCAATTCCAACCCATAGCAACCGTGTAAAGGGTTTCCAAAAAGTGGCTGGTGAGCTTGAACCCGCTGACACTGTGGTTCAAATCAACTTTGCAGTCCAGCGCATTAACCCACAGTGCCACACATATACCTTGTAAATTCTATAGTAATGTAAGTAAAAATGAGATATAAACATATAAACTAAAAATCTTTCAGAGTTGCTTTCCCTGTAGAGCTCTTTGGCTTGATGCTGCCATCATTGAAGGTGACTGTGCTTGTGTAAAGAAAGGGCTTAAAATGTTATGAATTCTTGGTCTAAACTAAACAAAAGCCAGACTCATTGCCGTAGAGTAGACTCTGACTCATTGTAGCCCAATAGCACAGAGTAGAACTGCTCCCTGCTCCATAGCATTTCCAAGGATGTATGTAATGTTTAGGCAGGAGTCCTGATATGGCAATGTACAATAAGCCCTGGAATGCAAACTGCAAGGTGCTCAGTTCAAACCCACCAGCTGCTCCCTGGAAAATCTTAAATAGGATCACTATGAATCAGAACCAACTCAATGACACTTGACAACAATTTTTTTGGTAACAGGCTGCTGTATCCTTTTTCAGCTGAGTGGTGAGAAGATTTGAACTGCTGATTTTTCCAGCAGCCTGTTTATCCATAGCTTCACCAGGATTCCTTATGCTTGGTGTAAAACCCATTGAAGTAATGTGATTTTGTTTAAAATTTTCGTTTTTTCTGTCCAGCTTTTTTCTACCTCATTTTGTGACTGTAAAATGCAACATTTTAGATCATCAAATTTTATTTAAAGTATGCATGACATAAAAGAATCGCCCCCAAACACATGTCTGCACAGACATTTATAGAGAGGCATCATTTGTAAGAGGATGTTTCCATTCTAGCTCAATCACTTATCTAGAAGTAGTGTCTGTTTCGTAAGGTTATAGAGATAAAATTGCTTAGTATATGTAAAGTAAGCACTGGTAGCCTAGCGGTTACGAATCAGGCTGCTAATCTCACAGTCAGCAGTTCGAAACTACCAGCTGTTCTGTGGGAGAAAGATGAGGCTTTCTGCTCCCGTAAAGATTACAGCCTTGGAAACCCTGTACAGGGTCACTATGAGTCGGAACTGACTCCACGCCACATCACAACAACAACATATGTAAAGTACTCAGAACAAGCTTTTGTTTCATTTGTAAAAATTAGAATACAGAATAATGTGAATAGTATCATGTTGTTTACATACCATCAATTTTGTTCTGACATAAAGACCCTTTGTACAACAGAAACAATGTCTGATCCTGTACTATCTTCACAATTGTTCTGTTTGAGCCCATTGTTGCTTCCCCTGTGTCATTCTATCTCGTTGGAGGTCTTTTTCTTTTTTGTTGACCCTCCACTTTACCAAGCATGGTTTCCTTTTCCAGGGACCAGTCCTTTCTGACAACATGTCCCAAATACTAGAAACAAAGTCTTCCCTTCTCACTTTTAAAGAGCATTCTGACTGTACTTTTTCCAAAACAGATTTGTTCATTCTGGCATTCCATGGGACTTTCAGTGTTCTTTGCTCACATCGTAATTCAGATGCATCAATTTACAGTCTTCCTTATTCGATGTCCAGCTTACATAATGCAAAATGCAAGGTCAGCACAGCGGTTCAAGCTCACAAGCCGCTCTTAGAAAACTGTATACAGGGTCGCTATGAGTTGGAACTGACTCAGTGGCACTTAACAACCACCACCACCATGGCTTTGGTATGGTACATGTTAGTTGATGCTATCTTTATTCTTTGGCACATTAAAGAGATGTTTTGCAGATTTGCCCAATGTTTGATTTCTTGAACATCTGGTTCCATGAGTACTGATGTGGAATTACCATTTATTAAAAAGGAAGGGGTTTGGATATACAATATTCATAGAAATTAGTTTAGTAGAATATTTTTGAGATAAACAAAAGTGGAAATAGTTTCTCTGGGAAAGGAGTAGGGCCTGGGACAAACGGGAAACATTATATCAACATTTTCACTTTTTTTTCCCAACCACTTATTAATTTGTAATGGCATGTTTCAAGTAATTTAAGTGATTCTGCTTTAAAACAAGAATCTATGTTCTTTCCAGATGGCCCTGCTGAGGCACCAGTAACCAATGGGAACACAACCACGATGCCAGCCCTGAATGATGATCTGGATATCTTTGGGCCAATGATTTCTAATCCTTTACCCACAACTGTCATGCCGCCAGCTCAGGTATGTGCTAATAATAGGGGTTTACATGGTCACTGCTTATTTCTTTTTTGAAATGCTTTAAAATTTCAATTTTTTAAAGCTTAGTTTCTGAGCAATTGTTGATTCATTAGGCCAGAAATCAACAAAGGAAGCCTGTATCTTTGATTTTGTAAATAAGGTTTTATTGGAACACAGCCATTCTCATTCATTTGCATATAATCTGTGGCTGTAAAAACAGAGACAGTAAGGCCCACAAATAATCACTAGCTGGCCCTTTACAGGGAGAATTTGCTAACCCTTGCTTTAGGTGTGGGTTAAGACGGAACACTGGAAAGCTTAGACTACTTCCACTTTGCCTGAGATGAGATCAGCAAGGTTACTTTAGAGGTTTTAAACTGTAGCTTTTATTTATAAATATTGACTGTAAGCCTGTAGTTCCTTTAGCCCTAGTTCCTAGATGGTGTTCATTTCTTCTACTTGCAAGAAAACCAAAAGTAAGAAATTCTAGCAGGTTCATTGCTCATTTCTTTTTCTGATTCATAAAGATTTTATTTTTTTTAAAGTAATTATTGTGCTATCTCTAGAATAATTATTTGAGGATCAGGATTTTTAAAAATTAAAAACATTAATAGTAAGGAATTTAATTGTCTTTTTGCTATAACATGAAATTTCTATAGGGTAAAATACATGAACTTTCAGAATAAAGGTTACTGATAAGAATTTAAATAATACATGCAACTTTAAAATTCTATTTTCAATGTATACTTTACAAAGTATAAATTATATAAACAACCAGTTTTAGTACAGGATTATTTTTGAGATAAAATATTTTTTGTCTAGGAAAACTTTCAGAAATCTGATTTGTTTGGACAGAATGATGGTAGCGTAGTGGTTACGAATCGGGCTGCGAACCTTAAGGTCAGCGGTTCGAAACTACCAGCTGCTCCGCGGGAGAAAGATGAGTCTTTCTGCTCCCATAAAGATTTACACCCTCGGAAACCCTGTACAGGGTCGCTATGGGTCGGAACCGACTCGACGGCACTTAACAACAACAACATGTCTTATTAGGAGTACTGGTGTGGCACTCTTGGTTAATGCACTAGACTTCAAAATTTGAGTTTGAACCTCAAGATTCAAGCTCACCAGCCACTCCTCAGAGACCCTATACAGGGTGTCTATGGGTTGGAACTGATTGGGCGGCACTTAACAATAGTGTCTTATTAAGGAGACTAATTACATATTTGTTATTATTATAGTCATTGTATAGTTATCACTAGAATTTCTTAGAACTTGTTTTAAATGGATCTTTCTCAAAATTGACTTCAGCATTAATGTTTATTTTCAGGAAAGATAGCTTGTCTTATGGCTTTGCCCTTCCTCCAATGCATAAAAAGAAGGACTAAGTATTGCCACTATTGTTTCAATTCATTAATATTAACAGTCTTGTGAATTTGTCCAGGTACAAGTATGCATGTGACCATTTGAAAAAAACATGTTTGACCCGTAGTATTGTGACTTTAGAAAGAAGTATTTAGGGTATTTGACAATCTGAGCATGAAAAGCAGTTCATTTTGGTGTAGCGTTCTAGTGAGGCAGTGATACCTGCTGGACTTCTTTAGATTCCATTGGGATATGAAAGTTGCTTTGTAACTGCTTAGAGAATTAGATATCACTTCTGAAGTGTCAGTGTAGTTCATGTTTAGAACTATACACACACACACACATATATATATACACACACACACACATATATATATATATACATACTTCATTTAACTCTGAAATGCAAGTAGCAGCACGTGGAGGGGCCCAGAAGTGTGTTTTCTGGCTTTTATTTGGAGTTGGTCGGGCCGTCATACTTAGTGCATTCTGAGAAGTAATTGATAGAGTAGCAGTTTATTTTTTTTAGTCACATATAATTTTGGAACATTGTGTTTGGACTGGAATTGTGACAGTTGTATTGAACCTCATGAAGTAAAATACTTGGTGAACAGAATTTGCTTTTATGTAAACAACATACAAAGATTAAATCCAGATTTTTCTTTTCCCCCCTTTCAAAATAATGTCTTTGAAAAATGGGGGAGGATGAAACTTCTGTAAGAATGGTGTCAGCGTTTGATTCCTCATCAGACTTTCACAAGGGGGAGTCAGTTCTGCCCCATAGTGACCCTGTATAAGGTTTCCAAGGAGCGATTGGTGAGCTTGAACCACCAACATTGCAGTTCAAACTAACCTTGCAGTTCAGCACCTCACAAGGGTGAGAGGAGAATCATCATCAGTATCAAAAGCCCAAGGTTGATTGCTATGAGGTGGAGGTCAGACATACTTGACTATAAGGTCATTTTGAATCACGAAGTCAGCAGTTCAAACCAACCAGCTGCTCCTTGGAAACCCAACTTGACGACACTTAACAACATACCCACCAGCTATCTCTCCCATCCACCACTCATCTGTCAGTTTGTTGTACTGTGGTGACTTAAAAAGCAAAGATGTCAGCTTGAGGACTAAGGTGCACCTGACACAGCCATGTTATTTTCAATAACCTCATA